TTCTCTTGGACATTAAAACATCAAAAAATTGCAAAAGGTCATCAAAAACTGCTCGTAACGATGTTGTGGCACGGTAAAAAATGTTAGGTTTTCAAAAAACAAATCTGACATTCGTTCGTTTACTAAAGAATACACACTTGTTCTAAAAAAAGTACTATTTTTATGTTTGGAAAAAAAATCTTTATGTGTGGTTTCTTAAAAAAAGATGAATTCTGAAAAAAACCAATCAATCGTACAACATCGAAGTATGGAGGGATATCAAAAAAAATTCCATCCATGAAAAAAAAATTGTGTGCTTTCAAAAAACGCATATTTTCTTTCGAAGCATGCTCAAAAAAATATGTTTGTCGTCAGGGTACATACACCCACACTCAATACTTTTGTTTCTAAATTTATAAACAAAAAAAAAACATCGTTTGTTCGATCGAATTAGTGGTAAAAAATATCAAAAATCACTAATTCGATGTCAGAAAAAAAAAAACCAAAAAGCGGTGCGTGCCGAGAAAAAGTATTTTTGAGAGGAAAAAATAATAAGTGGCGTGTTGATTGGAAATACGTGACTGAAGTTTCAATTTTGCAACAAAGTCGGTGAATAAAGTCGTGATTCTGACAGTATCGGAAATAAGTTATACGTTGATTGAGACACACGTCACGCGTGGAATATTTAAAAAAGTGTACGTGCTTCTCCATAGCTACAATTTTATTTTTTCGTCAAGTAAGATGTCAAATATCACCTCACTTGACTCGAAACGGTACCAATGTAAATAATAATTTTTAAAAACTGTTACGAGTGGAGCAAACATTTAAATTATACGTTATGCAAAGATGTGTACTACTACGTCTCTTATTAGTTTTTCTCTTTTTTCTTGTACTTTAAAAACTGCCAAGTAAATTACTAGGCTAGAAAAAAAACTTACTTGATGTATATTACGGTGGAGTCTACATCCTGGCAGAAAGTATATACATAAAATTTTTTCTCCTCATGTAACAGTTATTTGAATTATTAATTACGTAATTTTTACTTTTATTTTTTATGAAGAGATTTGCTGGTTACTAAAAAATCCCATTGTTTAATAATTTAATTTTTCATTGCTTTGAAGAATAAAATTTACTTTGATGTTCAAAAGAACTTTTCAATAAAATAATCAGATTACGTTGTAACGAGCGACGAAATCGTTGAAACTACCAATTTGCAGGATTTCTCTTTCACGTGAAAAAAAGGACAGCTTATTCCGTTTCGCACGGCATGTATATGTAGCTGTGAGAAGCCATAGTATACGATCTTTGAAAAAGAGAATCAGTTATTAACTGGGATCAGCTTGGTATAACCGTATGTGAAAATTACTATCAGAGGACACGAAGCCGCTTGTGAATTTTCAATTCAACCTTTAATTTTAGTCAACCACACACGTGGTGGCGCTCGAAAGATGTGTATTATATAGTGTGCTCGTGTGTTCATTGTGTGAGAGTGTGAAAACGAGAGAACGTTCGCATAGAGGAGACTGACGTAAAATGTCACGCAAAATTCAAATGTGTCAAAAAGTCGCTCGACAAAATTTTCTGTGAAAAGACAGCCGATCAATATTCTGTACCGATAAAACTTGAACGCATAAATGTATCAAAACGACGTTGGCTATAAAAAAAAATCTTTTATTGCCTTATTTAAAAGTGTAAATGGAAACCTTCCACCACATAGCACAACAATATTACTTTCTATTAATACTTACTCATCGAAAAATTTTATAACAACCTGCGATATTCCAAATGTCAAAGTACACTAGACTAGTCCTATGGTGTATGTGTCATTGTTAAAGGAAAATCGAGGATGCATCCAGCAAAAAGGGAAGCGTCCTCGACGTAAAAAGTAAAACAAAAACCTATATGCATACAAAAACTGTCTATAGAAACAAAAGGAGCGCAGCCAAAAAAGCCTTTTGTCATCGCTTTCCAAAAAGCAAAAACGAAACAGAAAAAAAAACAAAAAAAACCAAAACTTGTGACAAATAGACCAGTCTCCTCTAAACGCACAACGAATAATATCGGCATCGTACACAATATCAATTAACGTGCACAAAAAACAATATACTGCCACGAAATTTGCGTGCAGGGCGGGTATAGATAAATACTTTGTATCTTATTAATCATCAAAAACATGTTTGATCAAGTTTGTGGTTGTTTCGAAAAAAAAAAAATAAAATAAAAACGAAAAAAGGAAAAAAACAAAAGTAAAAACCAAAAAATTGAAAAATACCAAAAATGAAGAAAAAAAAGTTTGTACGTAGTATAAAAAAAACTATGGTGTTTTTTGAAGTATCGTGCAGGCAGCCTGCACGTATATTATGTAGTATAGGATGATGCATTTTAAATGCAGTGTGGACAGACCTGGCTTTAATCGACAAGACTTTAGTCCCGACGGCCAAGTTTTCTTTAACGAAGATCGGCCCGTACACATTTTGCTCCCACACGGGCGGATTATTCGCACGGTCCACAACATCAATCTGTACCTCCACCGTTCTCGACAAAGGTGGGAAGCCTTTGTCTTGGGCCATCGCCTCCAGCTTGTATGTCTCGCGCTAAACGGCCACACGTTTGTGTTCGTGTGTACGTGTGTGTTTGTTTGCACACGTCAACAAATGGAAAAGAAAAAAGAAAAACAGCCATGGTTAGTCGGGATCATCGCAGGACATCGTCTCTCATTTTTGTGCCTTTTAGTGCTTCTATTTGATTTTTTTTAATTTTTTTTCGGGGAAAGGGTAAAAATATCTTTCGACTCGGGTAAAAATACATGGCTCTGCAAAATTATCGTAGAGCCATTTTTTTTCATATGTATGTAGTGAAAATTTCTTTTTTTGCGCTTTTTTGTATGAAACGTTTTTTCTCGTAAGAAGTTTTTCAAAAGAAAAATAAAAATGTCTTTTTTTTTCCATAGTATGAATATGGAAAAATGAAAAAAGTTTTGTTTGTCATGAGCACCGCTTAAGTCATCAGCGTGTGGCTGGGAGCTGTAGAAAAAAGAGAGGCTGGAGGTGACGGGTCCCGATGATCACTTAGACACATTCCCCTTGTGTGTTGCTCCCTTGGTACCTATATACATGTTTGCTTTTACTTACAGTATTATTTATAGCATCAACACCATGTTAGCATATTACCAAGCCGTTTTTTACGAGCCACACATTACGTCAATAATAGTCGATCGTCGTTCTGTCAACATGGAGAAATCGACTCGTGTTATCAATGATTTTTACGTCTGCAATACACATGTGAAGCCCCATTACTTTCTGGCCTACACATCACTATATAACATCTACAAGAGTTTTACAACTACGCGCTGGGCGTTGCACATTATATTCATGTGACAAATAATGCTTACTTTTGTACACATGAATGAATGTCGCAACGCAAATAGCATAAGGATTCGTCCATCTGTCCATTCATACATGTATGTGCTTATTAACATGGCTTTTATTTTCGTATAATATATACCTTGTTGTTTAGACATATATATATATATATTTACTTAACGTTTGATTATTCGATATTGGCTTAAACACTACACTGTTGTTGAAATATACATACTTTCTACCGAAATGAAATTTCGAACACCGAAGCGATGGTCGATATTTTGCGAGCTAATTAAATTATACGCTACGATTCGCTAATTGGGAATCTCGGTTGATCGCAGAATAGCAAATCACGCTTGTATCATAACGGCTCTCAACGAAATGTATTCCAAACACTAAGCAGCTTTAGATGGTAACAATAGCATTCATCCAGTATGTGTATGATTTTAACATGCCAAAACAAACGATTGCTAGTTAAAAACCCATTTCTCGTTATTCCAAATCAAAGCCATCTCGAAGATANTATTATAATAATAATAATAATAATAATAATAATAACAAGGACGTGAGGCAGTATTAGTAATCGTAATAACACAATTTATACGAGAGTAGGATAAACATGGAGGATCATAATAATAATGCATAATGCCGAGCAATACGTACCGACGCGTACACGCCGCACCCAACCATGCGTATGTATATGGAAGCTGTAAGCTGTGAGACTTTATTATTGTCCGGGTAAAGAAATGTAAAAAATATCCGTATATTGCACTCTAGTGTTCCGTACGTATATGTTAACAAATGCATCGAGTTGGCGCTCGAGTACCATAAGCGTTCAGCGGAGATAAGTAGATAATTAAGGTGTTTCAAAAATGCCCTCGTCTGCAGGCGCGTCTATGAGTACATGTACATGGCGGAAATTACGCGAGATCCTTGTGAACGAGGGCTTGGAAAAAAAAAAAAACGAAATGAAATTCAGGTAAGAGCGTGAACACGAGAAGTGTAAAACCGAGCGTAAAACTGAAAGTTGCACGTGTAAACTCGTATGTGAGCTGAAAGGGGAAAAATATGAGAAAGATGAGGGTTTGTGAGACGAGGATGGGAAATAAGCCGTAAAAAGGTCGGCTCATCGTCAGTTAACGAAGAAAATCCGAGAATCGGTGGAGAGGAGGAGAAAAAGGATGGAGATTGGTGGAGTCGACTGAAAAACCATGTAGCTTTTAAAAACTTTGTACTCTCTGATGATCATGTGTGAAAAACTATAGGTCGAATCATTAATAAAAACTGTATTTCACTCATTCGTAATTCTAGTGGTAATGTGCCCTATTAACTACACTTTTTATTAAAAATTTGAAGAAAATTATAATTATTCAGAGCTTTACTTACTTGTTTTTTGTTATTTCAATATTATTGATTAAATATAAAAATGATAAAGCAGTAGAGTTGTGAATTAACGGAATATAGTTTTTATGCTGAATCGCCAAGAGCTTTTCAAAACCGTAACTTTTAACAATTTTGAAACAAAAACTATATGGTTCTTTTTTTTCAACAAAACTAGCATGGCTTGGCGCGGCGTGTTCTTGATTCTCGCTCTGGACATGTGATTTTTTTTTTTTTTTTTTTTTTTTTTTGTTTTTTTGTTCATCGTAGCATACAAACCTGGCTTTTATCGACGTCACTACAGTACCCATTGTGACATTTTCTTTGATGTGAATGGGGCCGTATACAATCTTATCCCACACAGGAGGTTTATTGTTTCTGTCTACGACGTCTAATTCAACGTCCACTTCGGCAAACGAGGGCGGTGTCCCTCTGTCGGAGGCGCTTACTTTCAGCCGATACTTCTCTCGCTATTGGCAAAATATTAACGGGCCGTCAAGTAACACAAGTACACTTTGAGCTTTAGAAACACACTGTACAATTTTTTGTTTGTTCATCGAATCAAAGTGAAAACTTGACTATTTATCATATCATTAATTGTGTCTTCTTGGTTCTTGATTTTGTCTATAGTCTCTCAAATTTTAAAATACATATTCATGTACTGTTATTTTTCGTTAAAAGTATTGATTGTTTTTCATTGACAATAAGTAAAATTTTGTTTCTTAGTACTTCGTTATAAACACAAATATAGAGGCAGGTGTGATAAACACAATAAAATATGAAAGTAGATAAACGTTTTTTCCAGCTAAATATAACTATTAATTTTTGCATTATTCGTGCTAGAAAAACTGTTTATTTTAAACTGTGAAAAATACACAAGAAAAATAAAATTTTTAAATGAAAGACTTTACACTAATCCAAACTGAAAACGTCTGCTGGTTCATTGTGCTAGTGATAAGGATAGTCGCAGTTTTCAATTGAAAAATGTTTTGTATTTAACATCTAAAAACAATACTGTTTAGTACCACAAATATTAATGAAGGTTAGAATAGTGTTAACCCAACACCAATAAGAATCGTCTGTAAAAAAAAAAAAAAATAAACAAACTGCTATGACTATACTTGTCTTTCCAATTCTAGCACCTGGAACATTTAAGTTTGTCTAGTTATGTCTAAATTGATCATTACTGTAATTAATTTTAGAATTAATTTTACAATAAATACCAACTGACGTTTATTAATAATAACTTAAAATAGCTAGTGATAAAAATGTACATAAATAAAAAATAATGTGTAGATAAAATAATGATCGGAAGATATACCATACATATGCAAATAATAAGGAGTTAAAACAAGGTCACAAATAAATAATTAAAAGAATTAGAATTACTAAGAGATGTTAGCCAATACTGTTACTGTGCTGCTTTGATTAATTTTGTTATTTCCTCGAAGCATATTGTCAACACAAAGGATTTCTCCTACTTACTGATAAATAGACCTTTTTTTCATCGTCATCATCATCATCATCATCACCATCATCATCATCATAATCAAATCCGAAGAAAGAAAATGGTGCAATAAACACAAACATAAATAAAAAAGATCGAAATTAGTCGTCATTACGAAAATAAAAATTGGCAGGCATTTTGACCATGCAAGCATAATATGCGTCAAAAGGAACAGGAGGCAAGGCTTTTCGGTTTACCGATAAAGGAGTGAATCGCTTGAAGGACACAAGGATTTTATTAGTAAGGAAAATCGCAAAAAAACGTGACGACCCTTCATCCGGCTTATATAAGTTTCTCTTCGTTAACGACACTCAAAAACCGATGGACGTTATGCGTTATTTGTTTCTTTTTGTTTGTTTTTTTTCTGTTATGCTCGACAGTCGTATGCTGCCCCAATCACAGAAGAAAAAATGTCACACCACGGACAAACTCTTTTATTATTGTTATTATCTTACGGTCTATTTTGTTAATGCTCTCTTCAAAAAAATTATTATCTGTCAGTCGTGATGATTTAGGAGGAAAATAAAGCATGAAAAAGACATGACAAACATGTTATATAATGTTAGAGACAAAGAAAAGAAAGTGACATCTGATGTAAGTAGAAACAAATGCAAAAAAAAAAAAAAAAAAAAAAAGGAAAGAGTTAATGTTTGTAAGGAAAAGTTGGCTAGAAGTTTTGTAAAAAAAAGTATCAGAAAATTAATCCAGGACAAGTAAAAACATAATAATTGTATGTGAGATTGTAGAAATGAGAAGAGAAGTATATTAGTGAGCGAGTGAGAGACATACGATGAGAAGAAAAAAAGTTAGGTTGGAGAGGGAGCGAGAGCGAGATCCGTTCCTGTAAAGTATTCAAAAAACACATTCATTTAAAATATGCAAGCATTGTTCAAAAAAATTGTTTATGTCTGATGCACCACAAAATGCGTAGAAGTCGGTGTACACCGTACGTGGGGCTCAAAAAATGTTGTTCCCACCTGCTCCTGGAAGTTCAAAAAAACATCACTTCCCTTTTGAAAAAAATCATATTAGTTTCATTTCTTTGCTTACGAGAGAAAACATTCAAGTTAAAAGCACACAGTCTTTCGTAAAGCTTTTTTTTTCCCTTTTGCGCAAAAAAGGGACAGTTCGCAAAAAAACAATTACATTCTTGGAAAAATTTTTATGCTGTTAGTAAATACTGCGTGTCAAAATATCTTCTTCCTCTTCAATCAACCGTCGACTGAAGCCCGATTTTTTAATTTCTTTTCACAAAAAAGTCAGAAATCATTTGCAAAGGTCCGTGAAACAACGAGGTACAAAAAATATCTACAAATCTCATGACTCACACCATCGTAGACCGTGATTTGCAAAATTATTTCCTTCGTTTTTGCTGCTTTTACTTCACTAGCGAGTTAGAAAAAAAAAAAAAAAAAAAAAAAAAGTCGACTGGCAGCGTGCGTAAGTTTTTGATCGAGAGAAAGAAAAAGATGGACAGATCCGCTGCGTCAAAATAGCCCCGAATGGTCGGTCGATTCAGGTACGTGAAGCATTTAAGGAAATCAGGCATAGCTAATAAGTATTTACCATAGTGAACACATTGTGCATGTCAATGGGAATAAAATTCTATACAAGTGCCGTAAAAAAGAAACTTATTTTCGTTGCATATTAGTGATATAAGGAAATAATTAATTTTTGGTCAAGAATATTAGTATATACGAGTCTTTCGATCATGTTTATAAATATTATATAGGCAACAAAATGATTGTGTTGCATGAATGTTTGTCAACGTAATATTCATGTTGATACCTTACCGGCATTACATGAGATACCATAATTTTTCTCATCCCTTACATCACACAATCCGAGAAATACGAACATCTAATGTTATATTCGTTCGGTCTATTTTCTCAATGTAAAGATTCAACACATCAACCGAATGTTCGTAAAATGATTTTCATTTTCACTGCAACCTTTGTACAACTACAAGTACGAAAAAAGTATTCTACTAAGAATATACGTTGTCACTAATTCCGTTTTTTACTAAAACCAAAATAGTTAGATCGTTCGTAATTCAGAGACTACGTGACGTGTAAGATTCTTGCAAAACATGTATTTCTGCCGATAAGCATCGTTATCCAAGCATACTTACGTCGAGCGGTTTTTTCAGCACGATCCAACCAGACTCCGGTTGGATCTCAAAGTATTCCAAACCGGACTCGTCATTAGGTGCGCTCAACGAGTATACGATCGCTCCGTTGTTATCAGCATCTTCATCCGATGCTGAAACTCGAAGTATATTTGTACCAATACTCGCGTCCTGCTTCACATTTTCGACGTATTTCTAAAAAAAAAAGGCAGCAAAATTGTAGATGCTTGATCCTTCAATTCGTCCCAACGTGATCTAGTACTTTGCCATCATTAAGTTGTGTTACTAACTTGACGATCGAACAAGGGTGGGTTGTCGTTGGTATCCGTGATTTCGACGGTGAACGAACAAACACCCTCCAACGACGGCTCGCCCTGATCCGTTGCCTTGACTGTCACCGATACGAATTTGCCATCGTCACCTTCGCGATCGAAAACCTAAAAAATAAATCACATTGGTTCACAATTCACCGAATCGTGTCGGAAACTCTGCACAATCATCCATCCGCATTTGAAATGCTACGGTAATCGTCACATTGTTCTGACCAACCTTGTTCGTCGAAACCTGGCCAGTTTCCTCGTCCACCGTGAACTTGGTACCCTTTTGATTGGGCTGTTGTACTATCGAATATTTCACCTGTCCATTGACACCCTTGTCCTTGTCGGTGGCTTGCACTTTGATGACTGGACTGCCATTAGTCGCGCCTTCTTCGACCTTGGGATAGTAACTCGCGCAATCCTTGAACTCGGGCTTGTTGTCGTTGACATCGGTGATGAAGACGACAACGACGGCCGTGCTCGTGTGAATGTTCTTGGCGCCGTTGATGCAACAAGAGCCATCGTCCATCGCGGTGACGTTCAATTCGTATTTGTCTCGATCCAGGGATATTTGCTTGTTGTGGAGACGAATGACACCGGTGATCTCTTCGATGACGAATTGCCCGGACGATGTTCCACCTCCCACGAAACCAAAACGCACCGTATCACCGTCCTTATCCGAAGCTACGACTGTCGTCACCAGCGTGTTCGGCCCGGCATTTTCGTCCACGTTCGGGGTGTACACCTGCTGCGAGAACTTTGGCTCCTCGTCGTTCTTGTTCTTCGTGTAGATACGTACAGTAGCCGTACCACTTTTCGACGGCACACCTGTGATTGAAATTACATTGCATCTACATCTTGACACATTTTAAATCTACATTTACAGAAAGATTATCATACCTTTATCTTTGGCAGTGACAATAAACTCGTAGTACGCATTGTTATTGTCGGCATCGAGTTGTTTGTTGTTTACTATGAGACCGTTGGAATCGACACTGAAGTGGTCGTCGGACACCAGATAATCTATTTCCGCGTTTACTCCAGAGTCCGCATCCGTGGCTTTGACTTTCAATATACTTGTGCCCAGTGGAATGTCTTCGTCTACGTTGTGGGCTTGATAATCTGGCAATTCAAACTTTGGTGCATTGTCGTTAACATCCGACACTCGTATAGTCAGCTAGAAACAGAAATGGGATTTCATCAGCCATCCGAGTCTCAGTCACGTGGCACTGCTTTCGAGTATACGTCACTCAATGACAAACTTTGTACCCACCTCGACCGAAGTTGAGAAGCCGCCCGAATCTTCGGTGGCCGTGACCAGCAGTTGGTAGATGTGGGGTTGCCGTAGATCTTCAAAGTCCAGTTCTTTGGCCAATTTGACGATTCCGTTGGAGGGTCCAATGTTGAACGTCCCGGCTGCACCTTGTCCTTGGGCTTTGAGCGTGTAACGGATCTCGCGGTCGGCGAACGACTTGGCTTTCACCGAAATGATGCTACGAGTACGAAATAATTCCACAGTCAGTAATGGAAAGCATCCTTAATTACGCGTATTGATATCGCAACTTACTCTGAATCCTTTTTCTTGTTCTCCGGTATCTCGGCCTCGTAAGCCGTGAGATAAAATTGCGGCGCTCGCTTTCCTCCGATAATCGACAATCTCTCCTCGGGGGTGGACTGATATCGCCTCTCGTCGATGCGGCCGTTCTGGTCCTCTGCCTTGACGTAGAGGACGTACTCCATGTCAAGCTGGAACGGATCCGAGCCACGAGTTCGCACGACCCCCGACCGCTCGTCGACCTCAAACCTGCCGCCAGCTGCAATTGACACGGAACACGTGTACAATCTGTTTTTTTTTTCCCCAAATAAATATTGTTCACTTCCTCCATTCAACAGTTACAAATCACATGGTGATCTTTGTCCCGACAATCTGCTAATAATTCTAAAGTAAAAAAACAAAAAAAATCTCATACTTCTGTCTCGGACGATGAAATAATGAATGTTGCTGTCGGTGTCGGGATCTCGAGCCTGTAGAGTAAAAACGTGCGTGTTGGGCGGAGCATTGAGCTGTACCACGGCCTGCATGGGCAGCGGCCTGTTGATGAAGTACGGCGGCTCGTCGTTAACGTCCTTTATGCTAATGATGACACGCTGGTTGTCGGTATCTGCGGGGATCGTTTCGAATTAAGGCTGGCACTTTCGGACCATTAACGCACACGCTAGTGAAAGTGCTATGGGCTTACACGTGTATTCATACACACATGCACTAAATCATGCGTCTTACTAAATCGAAGGATCATTAAAATTACGTCACGTGGCGAGTTGCTCAAGTATCCCCGCTTTTCTTCGTTTCTATTAGCATGTCTTTTTTTTTTTTTTTTTTTTTGACCTTTTTACCGTGAATAAGAAAACTTTGATGCTTTTCTATGTACAAAAATAACATGCTGGGTGCAAAGTGCGCCAAAAAAAAGATTTAAGAAGAAAAATAGTCAATAAATACTGATATTAGAGTATTACATTTATTTTCAATAGAAAATACACACTCACAACTTTTACAAATTGGTCAAACTAAATGTCAACAGAATAGATTAACCGCAGGCCAGTAAATATATTGAAAAGCCACACAAAACTGTATGTTAATACAAGCATTGCGATAGAAACTGCTACTTACATTGAAAACCTTTGGAAGCCATAGAATGAAAAAATAGAAAACAATGGAGTTAGTAAAGCTTTATTGTAATGCAATGTATCGATAAGATTAAAATTTTAGGATTAACTTGGCAATTCCGGCTTTGTAAACTCTACGACGCTAATCATAAGCTCTCGTGTATGTATTCATATACGAGGACAGATGTCCATAGTTCGCGTAACTGATATTTCACGAGATAGCGGTAAACGCGACGCAACAGACGTCTTTGAACGAAAAGTAACACACAGACACCTTTGTGTACCCCACGAGAGATGAAGAAATGAAAACAGTGCAGAGAAAAGAATTTCAAAGGAGGGAAAATGAACCGCACGTGCTTATGAAGAAAAAAATTTTGTGTTGCGATGGTAAAAAAAAAAAAAAAAAGGGTGAACAAAAAACCTTGCGAACCCAAGAGAGGAGTGAGCGTATTTTATGTGAAAAAAGAGGATTCAAATGATAGCGTAGGCTTTGGCTTTGTATGAAAATTGTACCGTATCCGTTCGAGCAAACGACCTCGTCTGGACAAAAAGAGGGGATTGAATCTTCCAGCGTTGTATCGGAAAATAACAAATACAAGATACTGTTGAGAATGAGTTTTTAGTTTGTAAGAAAAAAAAAAAAAAAAAAAAAAAAAATTTCAATACTCCAAATGCAAATATGTATTTGTATTGAAAATTAACAACGTGAGCCTTAAAATTAGATACAATGTTGTTAGATTTGTCCCCATCGCGTCAAATAGATTTGTAAAATATTGCCTCTAGAATATGTCTTTTTTTATAGCTACAGTTACCGAGATCCAAGTATTAGGACCGACAAGAACATTTCCAACAACATCGTATACATACAGGTACAGTAGCGTCGTAACGAATCAATCAGCCAGACATAGGTTACCTGGATTTGTGACCGTCACCCAGAAATCGATCGTCTTCTCGGGCCCGAGTTCCTCGTAGTCCCACTTGTGGTTGACCCTAACCGTGCCATTGGCCGCTACGGTGACCCACTTGTTCTCATCCCTTATTTTAAAGGTCTCCTTGTCGTTCTCTTTCTCGAGGTTGAAGACAACCTTTCCCTCGACATCCCCGTCCGACTCGGCGAACTCGATCTTCTTGGTCGGCCTCACCGCCCTCGGAACCCTCCTTCTGATCCTGTGCACCTGCGGCCTGTCCACCTCCACGTTGTCCTCCTCATCGTCGATCTGCTCCTCCTCGTCCTCCTCGTCATCCTCCCCGTTGTCTATCTCCTCCTCGTCCTCCTCGGTCTCCTCGTCCAGGTCGATCTTTTCCCCTCCGGAGGTCAAAAAACGCACCAGGACCCTAGCCGGGGCCGCGGCCATCCTGCTCGGCGTCCCGATGTCATGCGCCTCCACCAGAAACTCACTCTCGGTGTCCAAGTCCGGGGCGACTTCGGGCTCCCCGGCCAGCAGCAGCTCCCCGGTCTGGGGGACGATGATCACCAGGTTGGTGGGCGTGACGAGCTTGTACGCCACCTTGTCGCCGTCCGCGTCCTTCGCCAAGACCCTCCCGATGGTCGAGAACCTCTTCCACCTCGGCTTGACGCCACTGCCGCGCCTGGCCCGCTGGAGCTCGTCCAGGTTGTCCGGGGAGATCTCGAAGCTGTAAACCATCTGCTCGAACACCGGACTGTTGTCGTTGACGTCGAGGACGTTGACCACCCCCTCGATCCTCGATGAGCTGATGTAGTCGCTGTCCGACGCCCGCACCACCACCCTGTGGCTGGACTTGAGCTCCCTGTCCAGGGGACCCGCCGTCACGATCCTTATGCCCTGCTTGGGGCTCCTCAGGGTGAGGTTCAACCCTGTCTGCTTGAAGTGGCTCTCGCTGAGGGCGAAGAGTGGTGGGCCGCCGTCCTCCTCCAGTATGCTGTAGTGCACGGGAAAGTTACCCCGGGCGTGGAGTACCGGGAAGCCGTCGACTGGGGTGCCCGGGGGGGAGTTCTCCTCGACCTCGCCCTCGCCCAGCCGGTCGTGCGAGAAGGTCAGCATGTTGCGCCGGTTGATCACGTACAGGTGGAGCTCGTGGGTCTCGGTGCGGTTGGGCCGCTCCTCGAGGACCACCAGGTTGACGGGCCTGTCGACCAGCGGCGAGAGGTCCGAGGTCGTCATGACTATGCCGTTGTCGAGGACCGTGAAGAACTTGGAGAAGCCGGTCTCGAGGAGCCGGAAGCTCGAGGGCACCTGCTGCTGTTGCCTCGAGGGGGAGCCACCCTCGAACTGCATGACCTCGAAGCCCGGGTAGACGTCGTGGGGCAGAACCGCCTGCATGGCGCTGCCGTTGCTGCTGTCGTCACCGGGACCCCATAGGTCGGCCGAGGCACCGGCCACGAGGACCAGCGCGCAGATGAGTACGCACCGCATTGTCGGGGTCTTGTGTGGCTGGTCGCCGGTGGGTATTACAGCTGCATCAGTGCGGGGGTACGGCCACCTGGAACCGAACAAGCAAGCACAGAGGTGTTAGCTGGGTGACAAAAATGACAAATGTACGCGAATTTTTTATTGGAAGGCCAATCAAATTGAAAGTCAAATGGCCACACAATCACAAAGAGAGGGGGGGGGGTCCATTACGCAATCTGGAGAAGCTCATTTTGCCCGAGGTCTTGCGTATACATCGGATCTCCGATCGCGCGCCTCGCGTCTAAAGTATACGTTACTTGGTCGTATAGGTATGCACGAGTAGTGTCGCAACTTCCTTTCACGCCGTGTATACAATGTAATAATGTACGTATGTGCATTGAGAGAAAAAAATGAATCGCAGGGAGATGATAATCGCACGCGCCCAATGCCCACTATAGTTGTTGCAAAAAAGTTCAAGATCCCCTCTGTACGTATAAGTATATTACGATGAACAACGGACCGTTTGTTTGTGGTAGAGGTATTTTTACGAGTGTGCGCACACATGACACCATCGCAATACGTACATGGGTGTTCAGCTGTACGGTACATCGCCAAACAATGAATGTCCGGCGTTGCGCTGATACTCGTTCGTTTTGTATACGCGTTGTACCTGTGCAGTTGTCGAGTCCTTGCTGTTTGCTTATAACGTACGTGTACCTATTTTGCCATTACCATCGACATCGTCGGCAACAATCCGGATAGCTTGTAACCATACGCAGACATACACACACGCGTACCGAGGCCGGAAATAAGAACCGGCGCGCACGAAGCCGCTATTGTTAAGTAAGTCTAGTATATATATTATACACGCGCGTATAGAGCCCGAAGGATGTAGGTATGTACGTAACGTGCGTACGCCCTTCCCTGGTTTCAATTTATTCGCCTCTCTTTGGTTCGATGATGTCGTATGTTTTTACAAACTCTACGCCCATGTGCGTTATGGACCGGATGCCGAGGGGGTCAAACGCGGCTCGTTTAAGTTCGAGGCTATTATGTGCACTTGTGTATAAGGACATATGTGTCGTGTTGCTGGTATACTCCGTTGGGGTGCTTGCGGGATCTTAATATGAATATAATGCCCATACGTATGTTTGATATATATGTATATTATGGGGTATGGAGCCCGATGAGATTGCTCGGATGAGATAAATTGTTTTGTGTGTGTATACACTGAGATGTGCTGGACAAACGGACGGAGATGTTTGGCCGGAGGAAATGCGGGACGCCTTTATTTATCGTCACGGAGATTTTATTGATAATTTTTTATGGGATTTTACAAGTGGTTTTTTTTTTTGTGATTCTTCATGGTGATAATTTACTGTGATACATTTGTTAAGTGTATATAATGGGTACGATGGCTACATCGTGAGTTTTCGCTCATTGGTTCGAGGAACAAAAATTGTTCTCTCGGTTATTGGAAACGATGCGACGGCGTTGTTTAATCAGGCTTTGCGAGCGATTATGAGAATTTATCCTTGTCGCCGGTTATGGGAGAAAATAAAAGGAGGAGGATACGTAGGGAGCGCCAATTGAAAGGGCGAGCTCTGCCGACAGAAACGTGTTCCCCCCCCCCTCCTAACGAACGCGTGAGTGACAGTTATAATTTCTTTTTTTCCTTTCTTTAATTGAAACAAGAAAGGGGCAGAGTGAAATGAAGCGCAAAAAATCCACGAGACCGGCGAGCGCCACTTTCGTTAATTTGCGAGTGAAAAAAAAAAAAAAAAAAGTTTACTAGTGCGCTAATCGAATGACGAGACTACACGAAATTACACACTTGAGCTCGGAAAGAGGAGCAGATGCTACGTATACGCAACGGCGCATATTAAAACAGCTACGTAAGCCTCGCGTTACAGTCGGTACTTGGCACATGGTGCCGCAGTCGCCACTCCTGTGTTCTACTTTTTTTTTTTTTTTTTTCAATTATCTTTCTCATTAAAACAACTGATGCACCGTTGAAAAGGTTCGTTACTTTTTTTTCTCACGGATTAGAAAAAGTCTGAGTTTGATTTTTCAACCGTTTTTTCATATCCATACGTACCATAAACTCCATTTAACTATAATTGCATCATGGGAGATGATTTGTATCGTATTTACCTACTCTAAAAAGATGTGCCCGTCTAGTTACTCATCTTACATAGTTATTTTTATTAATTTTCTTTATTTATTCCACAGTGCTGCTTTCTTGTGACTATTGATACAAAACATCGGTTGAAAGTCTAACTGGTCATTCTGCGAGCCAAAAACAATTGTTTCCCCAAACTGCCCAACCATAGCTCTGAATCTCATGATTATTTACAAGCAAGTTAGATAAGATGTATGAAATACTATTTCAATCGAACAATAAGTGTAAGCCAATGGTTATGCTGCCAAACTCCGTTTAAAATAATGAATCGGTCATAAGGGTGACTTTGGTCTCAAAAAACGAACTCGCTCACTGCACCTATAAACACTATAAATGTAACGCAGACCCGCCGACAGTTGTTCATCTCTCGTTGCCCGGCACCACGGAGCTTTTGGTGTCGGAACGAGAACAGATGCCTCTGCACGCGAATAAGAGCACCGACACACCGCCACGACTCAGCCGGGGATACAGAAACGCGACACCTATAATCCCTTCCATCTCCCGTGCTCCTCGTCTTCTTGTTCTTCTTCGAGCGCGTATTAAGTAACTCTGCCTTTATGCACATCAGTCGAGGGACGGAGAACACGATATTCCCGGGGAGAAAACGATACATCGTCCTAGTCCGCCGCTTCCTTATTTGCCTCGACTCGCCCGCCTGTAATATGTCCAACTGCCAACGGGACACGTGGCGCGCAGGAGGGGCTGCACGGAGCCGGGATGGAAGAAGGACAAAAATTACATGTGCTCCATCCACGTGCGGTGAGCGATGCCGGCTTTTGGGTCCATGTATATGCTTCGGCATCGTTGCGGAACTCTTGGAAAAGATACGAGAAACAACGAAAGCTGGCAGATGGAAAAAAAAAAAAAAAATTCGATTCGATGGCTATACGGTATGCAAATAAAACCCGTCGCGGTGTACCGTATGGATGTAAAATTTTTATTCGCACGCTCGATTCCTCGTCAAGGCGTGTCCTGTGATGAGACTCTCGAAACTCTATATGTAGCGCGTCCGGACGCTGAATGATAAATCTCCTGAGCGCGTTAATAGGTTTAGCACCGCCGTCCCCTGTATGTATAGGTGGCTTTGACGGCGCGTATATACATGGGCCCTCTCTCGCTTTCTTCCATCTCTTGTGTATATATATATATATATACGTGTGCGCTCGCAAATCCTCCCTCTCCTCGTCATTCGAGAGCACCATCGGAGCGAGCGAATACAAAGTGAACCCACCGCGTACTCTATATGGCATTATTATATACACGCGTCGTATCCTCCTCCACCTGGAAAGCTCTTTCCGCCAATTCAATTCGACTCGATTCAAAGTGTTCATTTGTATACTCGTGCACCCCGAGCGTACATCGGATCACGGGGTTTTCAAGCACACACCACTCCTCTCTCTTTCTCTATATATACTATTTCCACGTTTTATAGTCAGATATTCATTTGAATTGCTTTGTTTTTCCCGTACGTGATGTTATAGTATCAGGATAACGTATAGTATGTGTAAAAGGACTCTAAACAAATTTCAAAGGAGCCAGTGCAGGTGTCTCGCGGATAAGGATGAGCCTTCATTACTGACTAGTCTACCAACAGTTTCTGGACAAACCGAGCAACGGTTCACTACACCGCATCACTTTTAAATCAACAACTGTGAGATTTTGCGCTTCAAGTCCGATGACTGATGTAACACGACTTCACTTCGTAATGTAATTACCGCCTGTCTAATCTTTTGATCGCATGTTTATGTTTTGATTGCGCGATCTACCTTATCCCTGCAATTAATGAGACACCAGACCCATATCATCAATAAAAAACAAACAAACAAAGTAAAAGTTCCCCACGAGACATAAAAAAAAAAGCTCATTCCAAGTGGGGATATCGTGTCTGCCCTCCTGAATAAATCACCTCTCTGTCCCGAATGAACGAGTCCAACGCGTCTAGGTCGTGTACCAAAGTCGATAAATCGAGGAAAGGGTTGCTCTCTGCATCCAGCTCCGACTGACTAATGCGTATATAGTAGATACGATGGAGGGGCGTACGAAGGTACCGAAATAAATGCCCCGAACACGTTATTACTGCTCCCCTTCCCCGCTCTTTTTCCGAGCCCCGGGAGCTATATCTGCCCCTTTGATTTAGTTGCCGGTGCGTCGAGTACCACCATTTAAAACAATCGTCCTTTTACATCCATTGACGAATCGGCGTTCATTGACGAATCGGCGCGTAAAAACAGCCAGGTGTTTTTATTCGCAGCCCTATCCCAACTTTCTTCCAAAGCTCCGATGTATCGGCTCGTTTCTTATGCGAGACTGGTTAGTTGCCGGGAAAGCCGGCTGATTGATTATTCAACGGGAACTAGAGCTGTGCTGTTTAACGTTTTTTAGCGCCAGGAAAAAAGGTGGCATTTGAAAGTATAATTTCCCCTCCGATTTTCGAGGGACTGGTCTGGGGTAGGTTTTTTCCCTTTTTTTTTTAACGTTGGCTCTTTACATTTTCCGAGAGTGGATTGTAATGAGTAGCCGAGATCGAAGGGCTACGGTGACTACAAAGTGAAATTGAAAGGTAAGGTACCTTTGGCAGGATCAAGTGTGTTATTTCAGAATCACCGAATCAACGTCCAAAATCTGTTTTTCCCCGTCACGCCTCGTTTTTTTTCTACTTCTCGTACAAAAAAGGCACCGTAAAACTTTCTTCGGGGTCCTGTTTGATTAAGATGTGTTCCGATGCCTGCCTCTATTGTTTATCCGTTTAAAAATCGCTTCACACTCTATACTTAAGTATTATTGAAATACACATCTTTTTCCCGCCAGTCACAACGTAAATACGACTCTTGTCATAAAAAAAAAAAAAAAAAAAAAAACACTCGTGAAGCATTGGAAGAACGGAGTCCGAAA